AATATGTATTTCCTAACATTAGTAAATGTCTTATATAAAACATACACGAATAGCTTTCCTAACGTATCCACCGCCCATTTCCAGAAAAGGATACTTTCTACTATGTGGTGCGGTCGGACACCCTTTCTCCGCAACCGCACCGAGAAAACACATATTCAGGCAATTTGACATCATATATATAAATTAATAACATATATTTTATTACATCTACGGTACTTAATATGTTGATCGGGAATATAGATTGTATTAATGATTATTAGAACTTCTAATAAACAGTTGAGGTTAGTTAGAAGCTGTTAGTGTTGTTTGTAATCGGTTAGTGCAGTTACAACGTTTCTAGAACTGCTGTTAAGCTGGTATAAAGCTATGTACTTGGTTAATGCAAAATGAGAAAAAATATATTCAATGATTCTTGAATTATGAGTATAGTTCAGCTTTCTAAAATGGTATCTTTCGCCAATTTTCCTGGGAAAACATCTTTGATTCTCGCTGCGTAGGAGCTCTCCTCTGTTGCAAACTGGTTCTTGCTGCCATGTTCAACAGTGATGAGTCGTCTCCATTCATGGAGTTCTCCGCAAGAAGTACTAAGGCGTTCTCCAATAAGAAGGTCAACGTGGTCCTGGATGAAACAAATTTTCTCCTTTGGAAGCAACAAGTTTTGTTAACGGTACGTAGCCATCGCCTTGAGCGGTTCTTGATGGGAACAGTAAGGTCTCCGCCTGAAACCGTGATTAGTGATGGTGGTGAAGCTGTGCCGAATGAATTGTATGAGGAGTTTGTGGCACAAGACAGTGCGCTCGCGTCGTGGTTACTCTCCACGATTAGTCCTCAGCTTCTCCCACAATTCGTGGGTGCAGAAACGGCTTCGATGGTCTGGAATACAGTCCTCCAGTTCTTTGGAAATAGGTCCACAACAGCTGTGATCAGCTTACACTATAAGTTGCAGTCTCTCAAGAAAGGAGATGATTCAATGAGAGTGTATATCACACGTGTAAAAGAAGTGTGTGACGCTCTACAGTCGTGTGGCAGCGTTGTTTCTCAAGCTGAACATGTTGCCAGCATATTAAAGGGCCTTCCTCGTGAGTATCAACCATTTGTTGCCGTTATAACCACCACGCGAGAATCCTTGTCCATTGATGTTGTGTACACCATGCTGTTAGATGCAGAAACCCAACTAGCTGGGTTTGGTGATCAAACTGAGACGCTCCCAATGAGTGCGAATATTGCTCAAGGGACAAGCTCGAACAAATCGTCCAATTCTGGCTATTACTATGATCAGAAATCCTCCCGACAGTCGGCCAGTTCTGGTGGTCGCACTGGTGGAAGAGGCAGAGGTCGTGGTCGACACATGCAGTGTCAACTCTGCGGAAAGAATGACCATCTTGTAGATATCTGTTGGCATCGTTTTGACCAAGATTTTCCTGGGGTCACAGCTGGCAGTAAGGATTACTCCAAGGAACAAACTGGAAATGCCTATTATTCCATGTGCGAGACAAAGACCACTGACTGTGAGTATTGTCATACTCGAAACAATGAACCACATGCTGATTCACGTCCTCATGCCCTTGTCTCAACAGCAGCCCGCGAGCGATGGGTGATAGACTCGGGTGCCACTCACCATGTCACACCTGATGGGGCAGTTCTTAGTCATAAAGATGTGCGTTGCTTGCCAGCCTGGGTGTGAAGCAGCGTGAAGAACCAGTGATCTGGTGTGACAACACGAGTGCCATTGCGATGAGCACGAATCCGGTTTATCATGCACAGTCTAAGCACGTAGACATGGATGTCCACTTCATTAGAGAAAAGGTGGCAGCCAAAGCATTGCGTGTTAGTTATGATCCAGCAAACTTTCAGCTGGCAGACGGCCTCACTAAACCCTTAACAAAAACTGCATTTGAAATATTCAGGGCCAAGATGTGCGTGTTACCGTGTTGAAGGAGAAGGAGAAAGTAGAGGGAATATTAGAACTTCTAATAAACAGTTGAGGTTAGTTAGAAGCTGTTAGTGTTGTTTGTAATCGGTTAGTGTAGTTACAACGTTTCTAGAACTGCTGTTAAGCTGGTATAAAGCTATGTACTTGGTTAATGCAAAATGAGAAAAAATATATTCAATGATTCTTGAATTCTGAGTATAGTTCAGCTTTCTAAACATGATAAAAAAATGTCATCTTTAATAATTTTACAATCTTAATATCTTTAATTATTTTTTTATTAATTTGATTTACATATGAATATAACTTCAATAATTTAGGTTGTCTCGTAAATTTAATTTTAAGGAGTATATATTATTATTTGACGTAAATATACTATCCAGATATTTTGTTATTACATATTATATAAACTTTTTAGCAGAGATTTTGTCTGTTGTGATTTGTGCTTTCTGCATTTCCCAATAGTCACTATTTCCAACAACAGTTTCACCGCCTTTCAAATCTTAGTTCCGGTCAGGCGCTAGGGATCGCAAAAAATCATTGTAATATACTTATATATTATTACTTAGGTCTTAATAATAATATAATATATATACTTTAATATATAACAATTAAAAATAATTATATTAAATTTAAATATAATAATTCATACCTTAAAAAAATATTTAACAAAATTTTGACGATTAAATTATGATTTTGCAAAACAAAACAGGTGTCGGCAATCTTTTTGTCAATATTAGTCAAAGTTCTTAATTCTAGAGTTTTATAGAATCATCTGTGAGGGAAACTATTAGGTCAAATCTAGCAGAATCAAAAGCATATATAAAAAATTTCACATAAGTCGTCTAGTTTGCGAAGAAGCAGACAATCTTGAGATTTTCAAAGCCTGGTATGTATATGGTCTGCCTCTGGAATTGGCATAATAATGCATAAATTAATTGCCTCATGGCGGTGGTCAGTTTATGAACCATTCTTTCATACAATAGAACAGTACCAAGAATAGTACCAGTTTCATATGACTACAACGGATACAACCTGTGGATCTTCTCTTAGCATTGAAGCGAGTCAGGGATCATAAAAACACCCAGATCTAACCCAGATCTTGGTTGGCTGTGCTCCGATTTCAGAGGTTTGGATACCAAAATAAGATATCACCCCTGAAAAATGAATGTCTGGGAAAAAGAAATGGTAATGGACAAATATCCGGATGAAAGAACAGAATGCAGAAATTAATCCAAATAAAACAAAAAACACACTAGAGACTCCTGTAGCTTCCATCAGAATTTGAATGTCCAAAATTTTCACATCAAAAACATCCTTACAGTTGACAGCTGAGAAAAACTAATGGAATTTATACCTCTTTTGAGAGTCATCGCTAAAGCATGCTATACATTTCAAAAACAACCTGAGCTGCAAAGGGAAGAGATGTTAGGAAGCAAACATTTGCAAACAAATATAAACAAGTTATATAGCATTCGACATAGGATGGTCTGAATACATGTACAACAAAGTATTTTAGTATAACACACCTTACAACTCACAGAACACATACGCTCGTGACCCAAACAAGGTTCTATACCCCTACTAGTTAGAAGACAAAAGGTCTCATACCTAAACCATCTGTATACAGAAGAATTTAGCTTCACCGCATTCATGATTCACCTTGCAACTGGCCGGTCGATATTTCTTCCTGTGACTGATTTTGGGACAGCACAACCTGCTCTTAGATTACATAATAAAGCATCACGGCCAGTCAACTATTTTGAAAAAGCCATCTACTACCTTTGAAAGATTATCTAGCCCTTGTGATAGTTTCTCTGCTGTGTTCCTCGAATCAGAAACAGAATTCTTGAATAATTCAGCTTCAGCAGGACCAAACCCATCTTGAAGGAATGGATACAATTTCTTGGAACAAGCATCGGCAGCATGAAGTTCTCTAAGGACTGCAAATTCTCCACAAGAAAATATATTTCTAATTTCTGTATTCACAGTTGTTTGCACATCAGAGAAAACATGTGCCCATGGTAGCCTAGCAGGAACAGGCAAATCTAACAAATTCTTTGTATAACCAGAGAAAGCTGCAGCAAAGACACTACAGATATATGTAGTCGCGACCGTAGTTCCGTACATGGCACGCATTAAAACCTTCCTTTAGAAGAGTTCTTCACCTTAGGCAAGTTCAATGACTCCACAAGTTTGTCCAGTATAGGACGACAAGTTTCAACTCTGGGATTTTTGAACGGATGTGTTTTCTCCAGCTATCAACTGAGGAACATGACCGTAGAAACTGGTATGGGGAGTTGGACTCCAACTTATGCAAGACACACTGAAGTAAGAGATGGCCTTGGTTGAGCCTTGTAAGTTCAGAGGTAAAAGCAATACTAATATCAAGCAACTTTGCACTTATGTCCAGGTACACATCTATCCATTTCTCACCCCAATCAGTCACAGTAAGTTCAATCTCAGCTATCAGGTTCTTTATATGGCAGTGAATCTCAGAAAGCGACTCCATTGCTAGTTTCATCCACGACAAGCTAAGGATGTCATTCTTGTCTTTAGTCATAAGTCTTTGCAGCCTCTCCGACAAGGTGGCCTAAACAACATTCAATAAAAAAAGAAGTCTTGGGGCAACTGAGAACCCTTAGGTGTATGGAAAAGGATTTCCAAAATTGAAGAAAGGGTGATGTGGTTCTTGAGGACGGCTAATTTTTTGATGTATTTACTACAATATCCACAAGATCAAAGACAATCACATCACAAATACAATACTTGACAAACCAAATCATATTAATAATTCAATGGATTATAACAGACATCGAACACCCTGAAGTTTCCATAAGTAATTATCTTTATAGTTTATACTATGCAAACATGGGCATATAACTTTAGCCACTAGTTCCACCATCCCGCAATAAAAGCATTCCAGCCTATACCCGCCTCGCATTTCTAAGAAAAAGGGAAATTAACTTGAACCTTTGACCAATACCACACACAAAAGATCTAATCACATAATACATAATAAGCATAAAATCAATCGGATTGAATTTTGTAGATTCAACCAAATAATTTACGGAAATTGTGGACACTAATTTTTGTCCTAACATATATTATATATATATTTGAAAAATAATAATACATGTCATTTTTTTACAGGCCCAATAACATTTTGCAACACAACAAGCCTAACAGTGGCCCGAACCAGACCCCACAGTAAACCCACACGGCCCCAGTAACACGCGACCCATAGGAGCCCCGAATCGGCCCGGATCTGAATAAGTTAGGGTTTTAAAACCCTAACCCACCCTATCATTTCAATTGCTAGCCAAGTCTCCATAGCGCCGCCGAAGATTCTTTCTCACCCACGCCATCAATTTTCACAACGTCAACACCACCATCCCTGAATCATTCGATTCAAGGGGGAGCAAGCAAAGCAAACACACAAGAATAAGAGTTTTAGTGCAAATAGGAGCCTAAAAATAGGATTTTTTTGTACTATAAATAAATCAACACTAACACACACAAGGGAGAGGAAATATCGAGAGAAATTTCATACGAAATACACAAGAAAGTACGAAAAAATACGAAGAACAAGGCTTGTAAAGTGTTCGAAAACAAAGAAATAAAAAATGGTATAGATTTTTTACCTTTTCTTCGGTTAACTCGTTGCTTGCATGTTGTATTTTCTCAGTTAAAACCCAATCGCCGATGACCGTAAGGGGGGAGTTCGAATCTTCTTTTCTAGATCTACTCTCCTCTGAGGAGATTTTAAAAAAAACTAAGTTGATATTTGAAATAAGGGGGAGAAGATCTATTGAAAAAGCAAATTTTTTAGTGGGCCACCGCCGATGAGCGGCGGCCAGCAGGCCGTTGCCACCGTTTTCTGGAAAACAAGGCGGTTTGTTCTTCATTGTTGAAGAACATTTGAGATAAAAACATGAGGGGGTTTTTGGTTTAGAGAAGAGAGAGAATGAAAATTTGAATTGGCTTATATACTAAGTCCATAATACCCGTTGGACCGACCCGAGACCCGACCCATGGGTCGTTTGACCCGCGCGTTTTTAATTTAAAAGGAGAAATTGTGATTTTCATCCGAAAGGGTTTGCACTTTTGAACTGTCCTTTCGGTACTACGTAATTTTCAGTTACCTTTAATTAAGAAAATCGAAAGTTTAAATTAAAAGGTAAAAATACGATCCCAAATTACTTACCTCCGATCGATTTGAAAGTTTACCCTAAAAAGTCGAGAAACGCGTTAGAGGAAAAAAGTAATGAAAGTAAATAAAATAAAGAAAATAAAAGAAAAAAATAAATTAAAAAAAGAGATAAAAAATGAAAAAATAAAGTAAAGATAAAAAATAAATAAAATAAAGATAAGAAAATAAAATAAAATAAATAAAAGTAAAAAAACAAAAAACAAAAAAATAAAGAACATAATAAAAATATAATAAATAAATAAATAAAAACAAAATAAAAATAAATGAAGAAACAAAATAAATATAAAGGAAATAGAAAATAAGTCAAGATAAAGAAAATATAAATATAAATATAAAACTACAAAAAAAATAAAAAAGAAATAAAAAAGAAAATAATAATAATGAAAATTTAAAACTAAAAATATATAACTATTAGGTAAAAAATAATAATAATAGGAAAAAATAGGGAAAAAAAGGAAAAAAAAAAAGAAAACAAACATCACTTCACCAAAAAGAGAAAAAAATGGTTAAAATTTGGTCGGCCAAAAAAAGAGAGAGGGCCTAAGGAGATGATAATGTCAAATGTTAGGTTGGTAATATATATGTATATATAATATAATATTTAATAAAATAAGTAAAAAAAAACATATATACATATAAAATATAAGGTAAAAACAAAACAAAAAATAATAATAATAAAGTAAAATATATACATATATATAATAATAAGATATAGTATTTTGGCTTATATATAATAAAAAACTAAGTTGATATTTGAAATAAAGGGGAGAAAATCTATCGAAAAAGTAAATTTTTTAGTGGGCTACCGTCGATGAGCGGCGGTCGGTGCCCACCTACGACGACCGACAGGTGGTGGCCACCATTTTTGGAAAGCAAGGCGGTTTGTTCTTCATTGTTAAAGAACATTTGAGAGAAAAACATGAAGGGATGGGGTTTTTGGTTTAGAGAAGAGAGGCCTAAGGAGATGATAATGTCAAATGTTAGGTTGGTAATATATATATGTATATATAATATAATATTTAATAAAATAAGTAAAAAACAAAAAACATATATACATATAAAATATAAGGTAAAAACAAAACAAAAAATAATAATAATAAATAATAAAGTAAAATATATACATATATATAATAATAAGATATAGTATTTTGGCTTATATATAATAAAAAACTAAGTTGATATTTGAAATAAAGGGGAGAAAATCTATCGAAAAAGTAAATTTTTTAGTGGGCTATCGTCGATGAGCGGCGGTCGATGCCCACCTACGACGACCGACAGGTGGTGGCCACCATTTTTGGAAAGCAAGGCGGTTTGTTCTTCATTGTTAAAGAACGTTTGAGAGAAAAACATGAAGGGATGGTGTTTTTGGTTTAGAGAAGAGAGAAAATTAAAATTTTAAAAGTAATTTTGGCTTATATACTAAGCCCATAATACCCGCTGGATCAACCCGAGACCCAACTCATTGGTCGTTTGACGCGCGTGTTTTTAATTTAAAAGGGGGAATTTCGATTTTCGTCCCCCATTTTTTTAATATTTTATTTCACCCCCAGTTTTATTTCGTTTTAATTTGATCCTTTATTTATTATTTATTATTATTTTCATTATTATTTTCATTGTTTATTTTAATTTTTATCTTATTTCTTATTTTTTATCTAATATTTTTGTTTATACGTTATTATATATATGTATTTTATTATTATTATTGTTTTCTATTTATTTTTTATTATTGTTTATTAAATATTATATATTTTACTTTTTCTTGTTTTTACCTAATATTTTATATGTATATATATTTTTTATTTTTTACTTATTTTATTAAATATTATATTATATATACATATATATTATCAACTTAAAATTTGACATTATCATCTCCTTAGGCCCCCCTCTTTTTTTTGCCGACCAAATTTTTACTTTTTTTTTTTCTTTTCGGTGAAGTAATGTTTGCTTTTATTTTCTTTTATTATTTTTTTCTTATTTATTACTATTATTTTTTACCTAATAATTATATAGTTTTAATTTTAGTTTTTCATTATTATTATTATTTTTTATTTTCTGTAGATGTATATATATTTTTTATTTTCATTATCTTTATTTATTTTTTATTTTCTTTATATTTTCTTTCTTTCTTTCTTTTTTTCTTTATTTTTTATTTTATTTCTATGATTATTTATTTATTATATTATTATTATGTTTTTTATTTTATTTATTTTCTTTGTTTTTTATTTTTACTTTTTATTTATTTTATTTTTTATCTTTATTTTATTAATTTTTTATCTTTACTTTATTTTTTTTTATTTTTTATTTTTTTAAATTTTTTATCTCATTTTTTTTATTTTTTTATTTTCGTTACTTTTTTCCTCTAACGCGTTTCTCGACTTTTTAAGGATACACTTTCAAATCAATCGAAGGTATGTAATTTGGGATTACATTTTTACCTTTTAATTTGAACTTTCGATTTTCTTAATTAAAGACAACTGAAAATTACGTAGTACCGAAATAGAAGTTCAAGGGTGCTAACTCTTCCTTTACTATAATATACTCTCGAATCCGACACATCTTTGGTAAGACGCAGATCAGGTAAGAAATAAGATATCTGATCAATTCATTTATTTTAAATAAATGATCGGTGACGGCTCCAATACATTTCATTCAAGTCAAAACTCAATTCCGAACCTACCCAAAAACGGTTCCGACCTAAATGAAGACCATATATTCAAAAGTAAAATAACAAACAAATGCAAAAGATATGGTGTAACAACAAATCATAAGAAATATATCTAGATTTCCTCCATGAATACTAGGAGAAACTTGATACAGAGAAACAGCCAAGTCATTTCTACACAAAATAAGATAATTCTAAACCCAAAAATTCAAAGAAACCCTGAAAATCACACCTTCAAAAACAAAGCTTTAAAAACCAATCTCAAAACTCAGAAACCACATAAACTAGAGGAGATCTGATGAATCTTAGACCCAAAAAATCCATAAAGGTATAGTCAAACAAAAACAAAAATAAACAAAAAAAGGCTTACCTAAAGTTTAGATTCCTAAACCAAACGACCGAAAATCAAGCAGAAGAATAAATTATCCACAGATCTGTTATAGATTCATTGATAGCAAAAGATAAACACAAATTATAAACTAAATAGATTTCAAACAACTAATCTAAAAAATGAATATATATATATATATATATATATATATATATTAAAAAAGGGTATTTCTTCAGCGTCGCACATGGAAAGCCAGATGAAAACAACAAAAAGGGAAATAGAGATGATTGTACCTGAGTACCGGAAAGGGGATTTGGAAATTTCGAACAAAGCTGCAAATGCGTGGTGTATTTTTCAGCTTAGTTGAAATTTCATCTTCGGGGGAGTAATTGACGATAAGGGGGGTTGATTTAATCACTGCCTGTTAATGGCTGGCGGTCACAGAATGTATACGCGGAGGACAATGAATGGGGAAAATATATAACTGGATAACGGATCAAGTATCTCTTATCGTTTTTTTTATTCGTCAAATTTGTTAATATTATCACAGGGCCGTCTGTTGGGATTTAATTTTCAATGGGCCACCCGCCAGACATCAGCCCTGCTTGAATGAAGCCGTTTAACGAAACCCACTAATAGTTCATGAAAATAGAAGCAAAGAAATTAAAATTCAAAAGTCCTAACAATACAAGAACTAGAGTTTATGTATAGTTCTTATTGAACGATTGAAAAAAAAATAATAGAATATAATTAAAGGAAAAACGAGAATATATAGTTACATTAAAAAATATATAAAATGTATAGTTCTTATTGAACGATTGAAGTTAAAATTCTCATACATTCGTCGTTATTACTTGATTGTATGTGTTAACATGTATTTTCAACATATAGACGTGCTTTTCGATACAATGAACTTGTTTAATTTTCAATTTATTTATTTCCATTCAATTATATATTTTGTCTTTTTTTTTTCTTATTCAAATTAGTATACGTATGATTTTTTTATTTAATCTAATTCACGTCTAATTTTAAAGAAATGAGCAGTTGCACATGCCATTGATATAATTGTTAATATCTATCTAACTACTTTTAATTTTATTTTAATGAGCAATGAGATGATTTTATTAAAATTATCAATATTTAAAGATAATGTTATTAATTTTTTCACATCGTTTGATTTGGATTTACGATTTATTAATGGTCTCTCAATAAATTAATCTCATTTTTCAATGTGATTAGATATTTTTGTATATATCTTTTATTTAAATTTTTAATATTTTCCTTATATATTCATTTTGTGATAAGTTTTTATGTTAATAATTATAAAAAAATAATTATATGTGTCAACAAAATTAATGACTTTTATAAAAAAATATTTTCAAATCATTAACATTTGAGATTGAGTTTAATAATTAATATGAAAATCGACATAATCCTTGAATAATAATTTTGGAGTATCCACATTTCTCTATTTTTTTTTTCATAGTATCTCTCGGAATAAGTCAGAAGATGTGCTGCATTAATTGTAAAACACCGCCATGTTTGGGACGTAGAAATTTGACCGATAGTCCGACTAGTGGCCCAAACAGGCGACTTTACGTGCCGTCGGTTCTTGAAATTATAAATGTTGTCAAATACGTGAGAAGTTACTTTCACTCGCCATAATCTGCGGTGCAAAAAAATGCACGCCTGAGTAATAAATAACAAAATATTTGTGTACATCTGAGCGGGATCCACTTTTAATAAATTTCTTGCCATCGAGTTGTACAACATTACAACAATATTCCTAAAAACACAAATTAAAAAATAAAATAACAATATTCCTAAAAACACAAATTAAAAAATAAAATAACAAATTTCCTATTTTCTCGGCTTCAATAATTAATTTATGATTCACTTACGTAACTTGTAAAATGTCGGTTGCCAAATTGTACTTTATGAAAATGTACGATATAATGTTAAATTTAGTTATTAATATTTGTTAAAATTGTCATTTTAGCTTTTTATCATTTTAATATTTAGCATTTTATTTTAAGGTAAAATGATTCTTAACATTTGATTAAATTGTTATTTTGGTGTTTATTTTTTTTATGGAGTATTTTTAACCTTGAAGTTTTATGTTAGAGTAAAAGATCTCTATTTTAGAGCGTTAACTATTTGTTAACTAATGATTTTTATATGTACATGAATCTTTTTAATCCAAAATAAAATATTAGATGTCAAAATGTTACAAAAAAAAAAAGTAAAGTGATTATTTAACTAAATATTATGAATTTTTTATACTATACCGAAATCTATTGAGCTCATAAGTTCACAGGCCTTTGTTTGCAACTACATGAAAGTGGTATGTTGAACTTACTCAAGTATATAACACTTTCTAAAATCAAATTTAACATCCCAACTCTGAGTTAGTTAACGAGTGATATATATATATGTACGGCGACGATTAATGAGTGAGATGATGATTTAAATTGGTTTAACAAAATACAAATGATACTAAACTAATCAACAAATTATAAGTCGCCCATTTTAATTTAGGAAGATAATCATATTGTTGTGACAAATAATAAATAAAGGATTTCCGTAAAGCAAAAATTTAGAGTTGAAGAGAATCCTTTAATCTCTCCTCCTATATATAAGAGTTCAATTACACATCTTATGTTGTTGGTGTCATGTGATGGGTGAAGTAAGAAGAAATTTGGTTTTTATCGGCACACATCGTTAGGATTATAATGATTTATTATTCAATAATAAAATTAATTCCATTGATTACATTATTTCATCTTCGAATATAACGTGTTCATGAACAATAATTGAGAGTGTAATATATGATTATAGGTATATCTTAATGAATTGTACTCAAAATAAAAGAATCTCGTTGTCTTAGAGTAAATATTTGTAGCGGAAAACATACCACTTCACTTTACATTATTCAAAATGATGGTAATTAAAAAAATATTAATTATTCTCGTTAATAAAAACATAACGTAGTGAATATAATTGTAAATTATCCAAACACTATTAGATTTGCGAGTGATTGACTTTTAAAAATTTAAAATGATTTTATTTTTTTAATTTATCTGAAATGATTACAAGGTATATCTATTATAAAAAATTTCAATTATTTAATAATAATAAATTTAAACATTCATATAATTTTTTATGTTCAAACTTGAATCTATTAAAAATAACAATTATGTTTTAAGCCAACTTGGTTGAATGTATCTAATTTTATGTGTACATAGTCGAAATTAAATAATAATTAAAAAATTGAGGCAATTATGTGGTTACAACGCTCCTTTCAATAGCGAGGAGGTGACTCAGACAGCGATACTTGTATCACTGCTTTTCTTTCGTATTTATTCGTCATCTTCCTTCCTCTCTCTTATAAACTCCCCTGTCCATTGCCCACTTGTATTAACTTCCCTCCATATTAGACTTATTAGTGCTCCCTCTCTTTTTCTCTGCACTACTTTAATTTTTTTTTGGATTTTCTTGTTTTCTCCCGTTCTAATCTGTCCAAAATTTCAATATTTTTCAAAATCCCATTACGTCTTCCCTTGAATCTCTTCTATTTTCTTCACATTTCCTTCCCTTTTTATCCTTCTTCCTTTTTCTATTTTGTACACTTCCTTTCAAATCATCTCTGTTTTGTGTTTTTCGTTCTCTGAAATTCCCTCAAAAAGCTAAAGAAGGTTTTAAACACAAATGAAGGTCTGGTTTCTATTCTGGGATTTTCTTTCTGTTTATGACTAAATTATATGTTTTCCTATTCTGGGTTTTGATTCTTTTGTACATACTTGTGATTTCTGTATGTGTGTGTAGCTTTCTATTTTTGAAGGGGATCGTTGTTGATGGGTTGTTCTTAAATTCGATTATGATTCCTTACAAATTAATTATAAAAAAAAGCATGGATGATTCTGAAATAGATCTCTTGTGATTTATTGTAGAAGGTTGTGTTGAAGTTGGAGTTGCATGATGACAAAGCCAAGCAAAAGGCTTTAAAGATGGTCTCAACTCTTTCAGGTACATAAGCTTTAATTTTAAGCAACTTCCACAATCTGTTTAAAGTACATGTGTCTTTACAAGAATTACATATGAAAAAGTTTCTAAACCTTTTACCCTTGTTCTAATAGGGGTCTTTGTTCAAGTTTTTCAAAATTTGGTGATCAAAATCTGTTATTTTCCTTAAAGTAATATATTTACCAGCAAAGATCCTTAGCATAAAAACTAATTGATGTGACATTGTATAAAGAAAATTACCATTAAAATATTTACTTGATGGCTCTCCAAATATTTTTTATGTTAACCATAGAAAATGATAGGACTACTTAAAAGTATAATTGTGTCGGACAAACGAGAGGAGTGCTTTTGTTTTTAACTCTAGATGTGAGTTTAAGTTGAATTAACAGTAAAATGATTGGCTTTTTGAGAAAGAACAGTACTTGTCATATCATATTATTCCTTCCTATGAGCTGGCCTTGGAAATGATTTCTCCTTTTGATTTAACTTACCAGGAATTGATTCCATCGCCATGGATATGAAGTCGAAGCAATTAACAGTGACCGGCACAGTTGACCCCGTAAACGTGGTGAGCAAATTGCGCAAGTACTGGCCTACCGTCATAGTATCAGTAGGTCCAGCAAAAGAACCGGAGAAGAAAGAGGAGCCAAAGAAGGAAGAAGCAAAGAAAGAAGAGGGAGAAAAGAAAGAAGGAGAAAAGAAAGAAGGAGAAAAGAAGGAAGGGGGAGAGAAGGAAGGGGGAGAGAAGGAAGAAGGGAAGAAGGAGGAAGGGAAGAAGGAGGAAGAGAAGAAAGAAGAGGAGAAGAAGGCACAGCCGCCTCCAGACCCTGTTCTGGAGCTTGTCAAGGCTTACAGAGCATACAATCCTCATATGACATCTTATTACTATGTTCAAAGCATGGAAGAGAACCCAAATGCTTGAGTTATTAGTTGAGTGAAGGGGAAGAAAAATTTATCTCTCTCAAATTGGTGCTGGAATTGAATGTCATCAATGAGAATATAGGAAGATATATAACTCCTTTGTATATATATGGTGATATGCCTTTCTAAATCTTTTGTTTTGTTTATAATGTATAAGTAACGTGTTTTGTGTAGAGACTAGATTGAATAAATGAAATTTTGGAATCTGTTTTGAACCCATAGTCCGTAGTTGATACTTGGAAGTATCCTTTCTAAATCTTTTGTTTTGTTCATCATGTATAAGTAATGTGTCATTGCCCAAACCACAAGCGGTAAACTCAAAGTTCACCGTATCTCCTCCATCAACGTCAACAAGACAACGGACACAAAACACACCTTAAAACCCTCTCTGAATGCAGCTATGGTCAGGGAAGACGAAACCCTCCACACGACAAGAACACGCGAGCGCGAGCCTATTAACACAGGAGGAAAGCAATTCCAAATGAGTTAGCGAACCAAAAGACAATTCTATAAGGCTAAAAACTCAGGTACATAATAATCACAATAGTTATATTTATAATCTGTTGTACTATATCAATGTTCATTTATTGATGTATCAAACAAAATTCCTACGTAAAAACTGAATGGTCCCGATGCATTGGTCGGTTCTTTTAAGTAATCATCTCTCTCTCTTCTCAGAGTTGAGCAGCCATTGGTTGCTAGTTGGAGAACATACGGACTGCTGATTTACGTCATGCAATTTACTGTTTGAATGATCGATCCATACTTCATACAATCAACATGATATAAATATAAAGGTTTTATTATGAATTTCATCCTTTAAAATTATTATTTCATAACTGAAATAAATACAACATAAAACCAAAAATAATATAAAACCGAAAACCAAAACCACGTGAAGAGAAGACATTATCTACACTAGCAAACTTACCAAAGAAAAACTAAAGGATCTTCTTAACTATTAAAAAAATGTTTACGCAAACTTACCGAAGTCTATCATATAACCTTAATCCATCTTGTCACTTGGGATTGTACAATTGTCTGTTTGCCAACAACAGAGATTGTGTTTTAAATTAAACCTCCTTAAATTCTCGACAACGTTATCTTAATGTTTTAACCATGCACCAGAAAGTACGATGGGGTTTGATTTTTCCAAAACACGTGCATGTAAATGATTCTACTAAGGTGATCAAAATTGAGTAAACCCTACTCACATATTACATCATTCATGTGAAACAAACAAACAATGTTATAAGCGCAAAGATAACCCCCCCCCCCGGCGGGGGAAATGTTGGAGACGTGAAGAACGAGTAAAGATACAAAAAATCGATTCATTCATGTGAAACAAACAAACAATGTGATAAGCGCAAAGATAAACCCCCCGGAAATGTTGGAGACGTGAAGAACGGGTAAAGATACAAAAAATCGAAGCATCGTCATCCAAATGTCAGTACCGTCACTTCAATAATTAGCTTCACGTTAGCTCTTTGTTTCCAGATTTTCTAAATAAACCCCTATAACTTTTTTTTAAAAATAATTCCATGTTATAGAATTTGTAGGCCAAATTCTATTTAAATTTGCTTATAAATTTTACGATATAAATATGTTAGTAGAAGAAATAAGTTAAGAAAAAAATGTGGTGTATGCGGAAATTTTCATGCTGAAACTTACCACTAGCTTTGATCGAAAATACGAGAACAAAGTCCTAATAGTACGGATTTTGATGCACACCCAATACATAAAACACTATATTTATTGAGAGAATAAAAATTTGTTGTAATATTAGATACTATATTTCTCGTCAAGTAATTAACTCTATAAATAGATAAAAGGAAGTTTGAGATGAGAATTTGACATGGATCTAACGTGTTTCGATACAACTTGATCTAATATGATCAATTTTTTTAAATCGGGGTTAAGTCGGGTTTTGTAGAGGGTGATGTCAGTTCAAGATGAAAAATTTTCGACCTAAAATGATATGAGATAATAATATACTTATATATATATATATATATATATATATAAAAGATAATTGTTATAATACTCATCCCTATACAGTTATTTTCAATTAGTTCCTATTTTATCAAATATAAATAATATATTTGTATATTTGTGTCAAATGAGATCCGATTAGATATATATTTTTTCCTAAAGTTTAAGTCGAATTTAAGGTTAAAGGAAATCTCGCTAAATTCTTGTCAGATCAAATTATGGGGAAGAGAATATGCTTCTCGGGTTGTAAAAAAAACCCGAACAAACCTATAATTATAATAAGATGGAATATTTGAATCTATAAAATCTTATAGTCATAAACCATTGTAATTTTTATATTATAATAATATGGAATCTTTGAATCTATATAAAATTTTATATATATTCATGAACATTGTAATTTTAATATCATAATAATTTTATTCTCTATATACTTATTTTTTCTTTTTAAATTTGTTCATTTAATTCTTAATATTTTTATTTTGTATCTTATTATTTTTTTCCGATAACGTAACACCTTTAAATTATTAACTTAAAGAAGTTCTAATACCCACACGAAAGCAGTAGGTAGAGAGAAGCCATGGACGGCGAACACAAAGCTTACGCAACTCAATGTTCTGATTGTGCTAACAAAGCCAAAAACTTCAGTGTCTTTTTATGTCGATATAAGCACTAAAAGATCATGTGATGAGATATATATAGAAACTGATGGAACACAAATTGGGATTCATGTATGTATATATATAACTTGAAGGGCCAACTAACTGCAGAATTTGGTGCAAACATATTGTTCACAGTGGGGGCATGATGTTTCACCGCATATGGTAGGATAATTGACTTCATTTCCACGTTTCTTTCGTCTTTGCTGCACATTCAACTTAGCAGATAAAATTCACAAGTTCAAAGTAATTAGCTTGTCATAGATTACTCGATCAATACCATGTAAAAGTTGAAATGCGACGAGAATCAATTCCCAAGGTGAGGTGGTCAAATCCGAAGTCCTTTGTTAATATCATTCGCAGCTACCTTTTGGAGTATTTGTCTGTCCAGAATAAAAAAAAAATCTTCATTGAGATTTCAACTAGCATGAGGATCTCAGAGGTGGCTATTTCCAGTTCTAACATATGATTTGATTAGAGCGTTTTTGTTTTGTGCTAACTTGTAAAGGCTGGTTTGCTTTTTAGGGTGTGAAGAAGCTTTGTAAGGGGTTATTGCTTTGTTTTGTGCTAGGAGTTTAAGTCTATGTAAGTGTTCCTTGTTTAATTTTGATCACCTTTATGTGCTTTTTCCCTCTTCAATTGAAGGGTTTTTTTTAATGAGACTTAAGGTGTTCTTGTTAAGATCATTTTCTTCAATAAAACGAAGACGTTGCTGAAAAAAAAAATTACCCGATCAAATGCGATTTGATTGATGTTTCGGATTTGGATCAGAATATACCGATTTAGTTCTATAAGTTCATTTTAGTTACGTAAAGAACAATTATTACTATGCTACAACAATGTGACGAAAATGATGCTTAATTACATAGAGCATAGATCTTCAATGTTCAGAAAATGTGGAGACAAATATTAATGTACACTGAGCTTAATTCAAATGATTTAAAAGATCGGAGATTTAAAGTTTTGGCTGGTTTAAGGATTAGCTATGTTGTTGCTCGGACGAGTGGTGAGTGAGGGGAAATGATGTGTGGAGACATGATAGTCTCGTCGTATAACCTAGAGGAAGAGAAGCTTAGGCGAAGGTGTTTCTTTCGCCAATGTTTCGACTTATCCGGTTCTTGGATCTCTTGACCTAGTACGAATGCCTGGATCCTATTGAGGGCTACCTCGACGGTCTCGTCATCCATGTTCGCGAAGCAGACTCGAAACCAACCTGGCTCGGAGCACCGGAAAGATGAACCCGGAGAAACATTGAGTTTCACTTCATCGATAATAACATGCCACAGCTCTAATTCTCCCTGGAGAGATTGCTCTTTAAGGAGCGGTCGCATGTCCATCCAGAAAAACAAACCAGCGTTACTTTTCAAGCAAGAAATCCCAACTTGTTCCAGCCCCTTGATGAAAACATGGTGCCTTTTGGCTAACCTCTTGGAGCTTTCCCTTAGGAAATTCCCCACGAACTGGTCATCCGAAAGCATTGAAGTAAGTAAATATTGCGTCTGCGATGACACCAATCCAAAACTCGACATCTTACGAGCACAATGCATAACTTCATCGTTGAACGAGTACACAATACCGACTCGAAAACCTGGGATCCCCATGTCCTTGGACAAGCTATAAACAATGTGAATGAGATCAGGGTTGCAATCATCCATATCTTGTATAATCTCAGCAATGCTAATGAATCTAGGAGAGCTGAACACTGTTGCGGCATAGATTTCGTCGCAGACAAGGTGGATGGTCTTTTCATTAACGAAGCTGACTATGTTTCTCATCGTGTCGCGGTCTAGGACTGTGCCTAAAGGGTTCGAAGGGTTGGCTACGATGACGCCTTTGACGTTTATGTTCCATGTTTGAGCTTTTTCATAGGCATATTCCAAGGCTTCTCTCGTTATACGGAAATGGTTTGAGCTTTTGCAGTCAACCGGTATTATTTCTATCCTAGTGCGCCACCTTAGGTCCCGGGCAAATCTGCATAATTTATTAATAAAAAAACATAAGCTTTTAATCCTTTTAATAATTAAAAGAAAATAATTACATATATAAAGTTACGTACCCCGCATAATAAGGAGAAGGTACAAGAAAAGCGTCGCCTGGGTCGGCCAGGCAAAACATGACCGTCTCGTTAGCTCCGGTGGCTCCGCCGCTCATGACTATACGGTTTGCATCGAATGTAACCTTGTTTCCTCCTACTCTCCCCATAAACTTTGCTACAGCCTGAAGAGAATGCCATAAATAATTACTCGTTTTTTTTACACGTATCCAGTATATATTATGGCGAACTCATATTCTTATCTAATAAGTATTCAGTAAAAAAAAACTTCAAATATTTCGTTATTAGGTACCTCTCTGAACTCTTTGAGGCAGTGATAATCCTGAAAGATGGCAATATCGTTGAACTTATCAACCCCTTGTGCAGTGCAGATGGAAGCATGAGGGTTTTCCAGAATCCACTTTTTCATCAAATCAGAGCAAAGCTACAAAATGAAACAAAGATAGAAATTAAGCAAGAAAATATGTAACTCATTTCCAATCCATGCACTACTTAAAAGGGCTTTGTTTCCCACAACTCTAAAAGAAAGTTTAAGGACGTCTCTTGCTATCTAGAGAGCAACACAACGACAACACTTGAGCATGATGCTCTAATATATATGTAAGTATTTACAAGCACACCTTGTTCTCAGCTAGTCCCATTTGAATGACACCATGTGGATTCCGAGCGGGGTGAAAAGGGTTGCTGTCGTACGCTTTCCACCCATCAAAATAAGGTGAATTCTCTCCATGACCGTCGTTAGTGGCTATCTTAGACAAAAGATTCTTCCTTTTAAACTCCATTTCTTTCTACTACAGTGATGAGGTTCTTTGGGGTTGGTTGTAAGCATTGATAGATTTGTAGTGTTATTTATATAGGAAGGAGGACGCGAAGGCCAAGGGAATTTAAGAAGAAAGAAACGAAAAGTCCATTTTTAAAGTTTTTGATTTAGACACTAGGAAATTTAAGACAAGTCGGAAACACGAGTGAATTCAACTGTTTGTTTCTTGGTCCAAGCTACTTTGTAATAGCCTGCGTCATCAGTGACACCATTCACGTGGAAACTAACCTTTTATTTCTGTTAAAACCCTGCATCCTTGTAAGTTTAAGTTAGAAATGAGCAGGTAAAATTTTTTACAGTAACTTTGGTGGTGTAACTAAACATCTTTTTGGTCGGTTGTCAAACTTATCATCCTCCCCAATTAAGTTGCCGAAGTTACGAGATGGTTTCTCATTTGGACTTCCTCCACTGACTACTGCTTCAGCTACACTACACCTTCTTGTGTCTTCCCCTAAAATGGCAAAAACTTATCCGCTCTTTCCACTCGTTTTTCCAGCACTAAAAACACGATGCTAATTCTGGTTTAGTTGATTGATGAGATCTTGAATTCATGTTAATCTCCTAATCCCTAAAATGTACTCACTTCGGGTTCGTTCTGCATTTATTTTGACTCAAGTTCAATTAATGATTGATTTTAATTATAGCTTAAAAAAAGCATACCCATTTGGTTGGATCATGAATCTAAACGAAGAGAATTATATATGGGAACCCATTTTTAGCTAAGTTGGGGAAACTCCACGGCCGATATACTATGTCGGCTGAATCGTACAAAAGATATATCAATAAAGCAACTTGATACGTGTTATTGGCTCCTTAGATATATTATTATAGCAACAGAAAGGTAGGCTCCAGATTCAATTCACTGAAGCTGTTGGTCTGTGACTCTGTGTTACCCGAGAAACCAATGTCTTACAGCACGGTTTAACCAAATCGATTCATACATATGTAGAGACTGTAAAAATTACATTTTTACTTATTTTTTCCGAAAAATTATTTTGACAGAAAAATATGATTTGTAATGCATGCAGACATGGACAAACTCATTATTTTATAGGTGAATTCCTATAATTTTAAAAAAAATATAAACTTATAAAATTTTAACGAGCGAAAACATAATATTATAAATAAAAAATATAAAGAAAACTTTTAAAATAATTGTTATTAATGATTCAATTACAAATTGACCTATTATAATATTTTTTTTAAATATAACAGAAATATTCATAAAATTTACGATGATAAGAATATATATATATATTTGTAGAAATCTTATTAATTTATAGATGCATTTATTTTTATAGAAACATATATATTATGAGTTATATTACTTTTTTCAGTTTAAAATCTTACATGCATATTTATATTTTGTAGTTTAAAATCATATTTTTTTGTCCATATATGTTTGATTTAATGTGTTTCAATACAAGATAAACATGATAATAAAAAAGAGGAAATACCCATTTTGATTTTATTTCGAATTCTCTTCTCTCTAAAAATAATTTAGTAATTATAATTTATTAACAATGTAACAACCCGAAAATTTGAAAAAAATAATAATAATAATTTTAATTGAAATTGGACGAGTTAATTAAGTAAATTGGTGAAATTTGGGGACTAAATTGAATGTTTTTAAAACTTGTAGCTTGTTTTAGAGATGAAGAAAATTCAGGAACCAAACCCTGAATTTACCCCTAGAGTGTCGGCATTCACACATTATAAGGGTGAAATTCATTCTGACCACATTTCCTCCCTCAAAGCCCCAACTTCCAACCACTATTCCGATGCCGTCCGACCTCCGATCGTCGATTTGAAAGCACCACCGTGTTCATCATCAAGCGAGGAATAAACCCCTTAAATTAATTGAAGTGAAACGTGCCAAACGCCGGGAATTTCAAGTCAAAATCTCGACGTTATTTTAGCACAATCGCCAAGAAAATCTTAAATTCATCACTGATCGTTGCTCTGTTTACGACACCTTCCGCACCATCGTGTTCTTTGTGCCGTTCCGAGTTTGCCGGTGTCATCCTTGGTCTCCGTAGACGGCGGCACGTGGGGAGATGAAGCGGTCAAAGTTTCCGATTTGTTGAAATCGAGCTCTCCGCCGTTCAAAAATTTGAACCGAGCTTTGTAAGTATCTCGAAATCGCTCAAAATAATTTTTAGGAATGTTTTCGTGAATTATAGGACACCGGAGGAGGTCCCACGTGCCCCCACGCGCCGCCACTACGCGTGGGGAAGGCTCGGCCAATGCTGAAACCGGTTTGACCAGTCTGAACCGGGTTGACCGGTCCGAGCCAACCCGACTCATTGACCGTTAACCTCCTTTGACCAGAACTTTGACCGGCCATTAAACGACCGTTAATCTTTTCCGAGTATACCTATCCTGACATTTTTTGACGTTCCGAATCCATTTCTGGGGTCCGTTTCACCAAATTTGAACCCGAAAGTCTCCAAATTGTCAGTAAAACCCTTTGACTTTGACCAAGAATTTAAATATCTGGAAGGTCATACTTTATGTTTTTCGACGTCTTGAATTTGATTCAGAAGTCCGTTTTGCCAAATTATGACCCGAAATTCTCAAATCGAGCACGTGAACCCAAAAAGGGCTTAGTATTTTAATATTTTAATTATTTATTTGAGATTTGGTTAAGGAAATTATTCAATAAAATATTTTATGAAGGTACTCGTGTTTCACCTGAACGAGGATCAGTTAGGTCCGGAGTTGTTCGTTCGTCAGATCAGCTCCAACCGCGTACTACAAGAATTACCCGTAGGTTTCCGTATATTATTTAAATAAAGATTAAGATTATTTATATTAGGATTCCAATATGGATTTTTTCAATTCATAGGGTCTAGCGCTGCAACAGAGCGTGATCGACAAACTCAGTAGTAGGCTTCCCAATCTGATTTCTCAGACTATTACAGGTGTGTTTCCTGACAGTATTACATTACTGTTTTAAAATGATTCATCTGAATACCAAGTATTTGATATCTGATTTACTGTATATTCCGATATAATTTTTGGATTAAGGTATTTCATACCGATTTCTGAAATTTGATTATCTGACATCTGAATTACCATATATTACTATTTTGAATTCTGATTTCTGTATTTCTGCATATGGTTTCCAAGTATGAAACATTTTTATGTTTTAAGTGATTAATCATTGTTCTCACTTGAATACATTCATGTTTAATATTGTCATTGGGGGGTATTGTTGAAGGAAGATTATCTGCAGACTCCTCGGCTTTATGCTCAGGGTCTAAATGGCATGTGAGGTTGGGTGTATGGTTCTGGGGAACCTACACATTTATGATGTGAACGGATGGGGGTAGTGTTCATGTTTTAAAAACATGTTGCATAAATCGATTTTATTGAAAGTTTTTATCTGTATGTATTTTTTTATATACTGTATGGAGCACACTGGGCTTTTTAGCTCATTATGTAGTTTTTATCCTTTTCAGATAACAGCAGACCGTAAGCTAACAGATTTGGCATCAGGGGAGATCAGCTACTTATTTTGTACGAACATATATCTCTATATGTTTTTCGGTTATGTTTGGTGACATGTATTTGCTATCGTTTTGGATATATATGTATTATTAATATTTGTTCTATATTATATCTAATGCATTTTAAGAAAAAAAAAACTTTGAATGAGATATGTGACCACTTAAGTTTGGGTCTAACTTACAGACCGGGTCTGGAGGGTTACATTTGGTGGTATCAAAGCCAGGTTTTAAACACACGGACTGTATATGGGTCCTAAACTTTGGATTTTTAAGAAATTTTGAAGAAAAAAATATGTCACCTTATTTTATGATTTAAAGTTTTCTCGAGATCCCTGATGCTAATCTGACATATGTTTCAAATTCTTTATGTAGAGCCTTATAGATCCAACGATGAGTGCTGGTAGGGGTCATAGGACAGGACGTGGTTGAGGACGAGTCGCTCGACCTTCTGTTACGATTAACGATTCGATGTCTCCACGTGATCTTTCTGTTCTGTAAGTATATCCGACCCTTTCTCATGATGACCAGTTTACTCCTGTGAGAGACCCTCCCGTCACTGGAGATGAGGATACTGACATGAACGAAGACGCCATTAATAGAGCTATATTCCGCATGTTTCAGAGAGCTGTCAGAGCCCCTAGTAATATGAGTGCGATTGAGATTTTAAATTCTCTGGTCGCTGCTGGTGTAGTTCCATTCGAGGGTATTACTGGTGAACCTCCGACAGACGCTGAGTATTAGCTAGAGGACACAGAGAGGATTATGGATGAGATGGATCTCAGACCTGAGCAGAAGTTGAAGGGGGCATTAACTATGTTGAAGAAAGAGATCTTTAGATGGTGGAAATCAATTTCTAGTAGTATTCCTAGAAACCAGTTAACATGAGATCTTTTCAAGACACGTTTTCGGAGTCGCTATATTGGGGATAGATATCTACATGAGCGACGCCAGGAGTTTCAAGATCTAAAGCAGGTTAATATGTCTGTTATGGATTACAAGGTGGAGTTCATCCGATTGAGTCGTTCTGCCCCTGGACTTGTTGACACTGAGGTAGATAGATGCTTGAGGTTCGAGAATGGGCTCAGGTATGAAATCAAGAGCCGAGTTGCTACTCACCGGGAGAGGAATTTTGATACATTGGTTGAGATAGCCAAGACTGCTGAGGAAATAGAGCGATTGGGTATGGAGCGCAAGAGAGACAGTGATCGGGCTCAAAACCGATTCAGGAGGCTTTCTAGTTCTGTTGATTCTTCTGCATATCCTAGCAAGAGAGGCAGGGGTGATTCTTTTCAGAGAGGCGGTGTGAGTGTCAGACCCGCTGCATCTGGTTCTTCAGCTGTTCAGTCTTCTAGACATGGTGGATCTTCTGGGTTATAATCTTTGCAGACATATGATTATTGTGGGAAACATCATCTTGGGGAATACAGGAAAAAATTTGGCACATGTTTTAGATGTGGTTCTGGTGACCATATTATAAGGGATTGTCCAGTGTCAGTTACTATAGATCAGACACCAACTCGTATTCCCGCTCATAATCAGAGTACTATTCAGACTCCTGTAAGTGGTCGTACTCATGAGAGGTCATCGGGATCGGTTAGCAGAGGCCGAGCATCTCAGAGTAGGGGTCCAGTTAGATCTGAGGCCAGACAACCTGCATTGGTTTACACTGCCAGACTTCGACAAGATCGTGATGGGCCTAATGTGACTGTAGGTATTGTTACTATTCATTTAGTTCCCTACTTTGCATTATTTGATAGTGATTCTACCAATTCCTATGTATCACATTCCGTTTCTGAGGGTCTAAATATTTCTATTTAGAATACTGAGTATTCGATGATAGTTCAAAGTCCCTTAGGCAAGTCCATAATGTTGGATCGTATTTTTAGAGAATGTCCTATAGAGAGCAATGGGGAAATTTTTCTGGCCGACCTGATGAAGTTACATTTGGAAGAGTTTGATTTGATTCTCGGCGTAGATTGGTTGGACAAACATCGAGTAAATATTGATTTTGAGACCAAGAGAGTTGTTCTGAAGACCCTAGATAATCAAAAAATTGTAATGATTGGGGAACGCCGTGGATTTCTGACGAATGTTGTGTCTGCTTTGGTAGCTGAGAAGATGAACAGGAAAAGTTATAAGGCGTTTCTTGCTTATATATTGGATACTAGGAGTTCTTAATCTGATATTGAAGACATCCGGATTGTTAAGGAATTTCCCGATGTTTTTCCCGATGAGTTGCATTGATTACCTTCGGATAGAGAAGTTTAGTTTGAGAATGAAGTCTATTCTTGTTCCACTCCGGTTTCAATGGCTCCTTATCGTATGGCCCCAAAGGAGCTTAAGGAACTGAAAGTCCAACTTCAGGAGTTGTTGGATAGGTGATTTATCCGACCCAGTGTATCACCGTGGGGAGCCCCAGTTCTCTTTGTCAAGAAGAAAGACGGGACATTGAGACTCTGTATTGATTATAGGAAGCTGAACAAGCTCACGGTTAAAAACAAATATCCTCTGCCCAGGATCGATGATCTATTTGACCAATTTAGATGGGATTATATATTTTTAAAAATAGACTTGAGGTCTGGTTATTATCAACTCAAAGTGAAAGACTCGGATATTCTGAAGACTGCTTTCCGTACTCGGTATGGGCATTATGAGTTTTTAGTGATGTCATTCGGGTTAACAAATACCCCTACTGCTTTTATGGATATGATGCATAGAGTGTTTCGACCTTATTTGGACCAATTTGTAGTTATGTTCATTGATGACATACTGGTGTATTCTAGAAGTGAAGCAGAACATGAGGAGCATTTAAGGATTATTCTACAGACTCTAAGGGAGAATAAGTTATACGCTAAGTTGAGCAAGTGTGAGTTTTGGCTCAGCGAAGTGACTTTTCTTGGACATATCGTTTCTGCTGATGGTATTCGGGTGGATCCAAGCAAAGTGGAGGCTATTCTGAACTGGAAGCAACCCAGGAACGTTTCTGAGATCCGTAGTTTCTTGGGCTTAGTTGGTTACTACCGTCGTTTCGTTGAGGGGTTCTCCTTTATTGTAGCTCCTCTGACGAAACTATTGAGGAAAAATGTTCCATTTGTCTGGTCTGAGAACCAACAAGCTAGCTTTGAAAAATTGAAGATGATTCTAACTCAAGCCCCAGTGCTGATTCAGCCTGAATCTGGGAAAGGTTTTTCTGTCTACAGTGATGCTTCTCACTCTGGATTAGGATGTGTTTTGATGTAAGATGGTAAAGTTGTCGCTTATGCTTCGCGTCAGTTAAAGTCGCATGAGCGTAACCATCCTATTCACGATCTGGAGTTAGCTGCTGTGGTTTTTGCTTTAAAGATATGGAGACATTACCTATACAGAGAAAAGTGTTATATGTATAATGATCATAAGAGTCTGAAGTATCTGCTTACTCAGAAAGAATTAAATTTGAGACAGCGTCACTGGTTGGAGCTTCTAAAGGACTATGATTTAGAGATAGAATATCATCCAGGAAAAGCTAATGTAGTGACAGACACCTTGAGTCGTAAGACGGTATCAAATCTCAGAGCCTTATTCGCTAACTTGAGTTTATTTGATGACAACAGTCTGTTAGCAGAGTTGCAGGTTAAACCCACTTTGGCTAAGGAGATTAAGGCCAAACAACTTCTGGATAGCTCATTGCTTCCCATTATTGAACAAGTTAAGCAGGGAACGGGTTCAGAATATACTGTGAATCAGGATGATATTTTGTGTTTTCACGGTCGTTATTGCGTACCTAAAGATGATGAGTTGAGATGGGTTATTCTTCATGAGGCTCATAGTAGTCCTTATGCTATGCATCCTGGCGGGGACAAAATGTACAATAATCTCAATGAGCGCTAATTTTGGACTGGTATGAAAAAGAATATTTCAGATTTTGTGGCAAGGTGTTTGACTTGTCAGCAAGTTAAGGCAGAACACCAACATCCATCTGGATTATTACAGTTAATTAAGATTCCTGAGTGAAAATGGGAGCGCATTACGATGGACTTCGTTACTGGTTTTCCTCTGACTCTTTCTAAAAAGGATTCTATTTGGGTGATTGTTGATCGGCTCACCAAGTTAGCGCACTTTATTCCTATCCGGATTAATTATTCTCTGGAAAAACTGGCTAAGTTGTACATTTCTGAGATCGTTAGACTTCATGGTGTACCGTTGTCTATCATATCTTACTGAGATCTGAGGTTCACTTCCAGGTTCTGGAAAGCTTTGTACGAGGCTCTGGGTACTCGTTTGAATTTCAGTACAACTTTTCATCCTCAGACTGATGGACAGTCTGAACGAGTTATTCAAGTATTGGAGGATATGTTACGGGGTTGTGTGATTGATTTCCGTGGTAGCTGGGAAGATTTCTTGTCGTTAGCTGAGTTTTCTTACAATAATAGTTATCAGTCGAGTATTCACATGGCACCGTACGATGCTCTGTATGGACGTAGATGTCGTACTCCTATATGTTGGACTGAGTTGCATGATAGAAAAACTTTGGGTCCAGACTTGGTTCGAGAGACTGAAGATAATGTCAGATTGATCCGTGATCGCTTAAAAGAGGCATTCGATAGGCAAAAATCATACGCAGATAAGCGATGTAAGGATATCGAGTTTGAGGTTGAAGATCATGTTTTTCTCAAGGTATCCCCCTGGAAGATAGTATTGAGATTTGGACGTAAGGGTAAACTGAGTCCGCGATTTATTGGGCCGTATTATATTTTGAAGAAAGTTTGACCTGTTGCTTATCAGCTTGAGTTACCTCCACAGCTCAGTCGTATTCATGATGTTTTTCATGTGTCTATGTTGAGGCGATACCGTCCAGATCTGGATCACATCATTCAGGTTGATGAGGTAGAACTGAGACCTGATTTGTCATATGAGGAGAAGCCTGTTCAACTTTTAGATAGGGATGAACGAGTTCTTCGGAATAGGCATATTCTAATGGTTAAAGTTCAATGGAGTAATCGTAATCCCTCAGAAGCTACTTGGGAGACTTTGGAGTCAATGGAGGCTCAGTTTCCTCATCTATTTTCATAAGGTAAATTTAGAGGACGAAATTTCTTGTAGATGGGGAGAATTGTAACAACCCGGAAATTTGAAAATAATAATAATAATAATTTTAATTGAAATTGGGAGAGTTAATTAAGTAAATTGGTGAAATTTGGGGACTAAATTAAAAGTTTGTAAAACTTGTAGCTTGTTTTAGAGATGAAGGAAATTCAGGGACCAAGCCCTGAATTTACCCCTGGAGTATCGGCATTCACGCATTATAAGCGTGAAATTCATTCTGAAATCAGAATGAATTTCACGAAACTTCCCCCCTCAATGCCCCAACTTCCAACCACTATTCTGATGCCGTCCGACCTCCGATCGTCAATTTAAAAGCACCACCGTGTTCATCATCGAGCGAGGAACAAACCCCTTAAATTAATTAAAGTGAAACGCTGCCAAACGCCAGGAATTTCAAGTCAAAGTCTCGACGTTTTTTTAGCACAATCGTCGAGAAAATCTTAAATTCATCATCAATCATTGCTTCGTTTACGACACCTCCCGCACCATCGTGTTCCTTGTGTCGTTCCGAGTCTGCCGGTGTCATTCTTGGTCTCCATAGACGGTGGCGCGTGGGGAGGTAAAGCGGTCAAAGTTTTTGATTTGTTGAAATCGAGCTCTCCGCCGTTCAAAAATTTGAACCGAGCTTTGTAAGTACCTCCAAATCGCTAAAAATAAATTTTAGAAATTTTTCCGTCAATTATAGGACACCGGATGAGGTCTCACGCGTCGCCACTGCGCGTGGGGAAGGATCGACCATTGCTTAAAACCGGTTTGACTGGTCTGAACTGGGTTAACCGGTCCGACCCGACCCATTGCCCGTTGACCGTTGACCTCCTTTGACCAGAAATTTGACCGGCCATTAAACAACCGTTAATCTTTTTTGAGTATACATATTTGGACATTTTTCGACGTCTCAAATTCGTTTTTGGGGTCCGTTTCACCAAATTCGAACCCGAAAGTCTCCAAATTGTCAGTCAAACCCTTTGACTTTAACTTTGACCAAGAATTTAAATATTCGAAAGGTCATACTTTATGTTTTTCGACGTCTTGAATCTGATTCCGAAGTCTATTTTGCCAAATTATGACCCAAAATTCCCAAATCGAGCACGTGAACCCAAAAATGGCTTAGTATTTTAATATTTTAATTATTTATTTGATATTTGATTAAGGAATTGATTCAATAAAATATTTTATGAAGGTACTCGTGTTTCACCTGAGCGAGGATCAGTTAGGTCCGGAGTTTTTCGTTCGTCAGATCAGCCCGAACCGCGTACTACAAGAATTACCCATAGGTTTTCGTATATTATTTAAATAAAGATTAAGATTATTTATATTAGGATTCAAATATGGATTTTTCCAATTTGTAGGATCTAACGCTGCAGCAGAGCGTGATCGACAAACTCAGTAGTAGGCTTTCCTATCTGATTTCTCAGACTGTTACAGGTGTGTTTCCTGACAGTATTACATTACTATTTTAAAATGATTCATCTGAATACCAAGTATTTTATATCTGATTTATTGTATATTCCGATATAATTTCTGGATTAAAGTATTTCATACCGATTTCTGAAATCTGATTATCTGACATCTGAATTACCATATATTACTGTTTTGAATTCTGATTTCCATATTTCTGCATATGGTTTTCAAGTATGAAACATTTTTATGTTTTAAGTGATTAATCATTGTTTTCACTTGAATACATTCTTGTTTAATATTGTCATTGGGGGTATTGTTGAAGGAAGATTATCTGCAGACTCCTCAGCTTTGTGCTCATGGTCTAAATGGCATGTGTGGTTGGGTGTATGGTTCTGGGGAACCTACACATTTATGATGTGAACGGATGGGGGTAGTGTTCATGTTTTAAAAACATGTTACATAAACCGATTTTATTGAAATTTTTTATCTTTATGTATTTTTTTATATACTGTATGGAGCACACTGGGCTTTTTAGCTCATTCTGTAGTTTTTACCCTTTTTCAGATAACAGCAGACCGTAAGCTAGCATATTTGGCATCAGGGGAGATCAACTACTTATTTTGTACGAACGTATATCTCTATATATTTTTCGGTTATGTTTAGTGACATGTATTTGCTATCGTTTTGGATATATATGTATTATTAATATTTGTTCTATATTATATCTAATGTATTTTAAGAAAGAAAAAAAACTCTGAATGAGATATGTGACCACTTAGGTTTGGGTCTAACTTACAGACCGGGTCTGGAGGGTTACAAACAATTAACCGATTATTAACAATTTATAAAAATTTGTAACCATGATTGTAATTGTTAACCATCATTTTTAATAGTTTGGTTAACCAAAACTGATTAACCTTAATGTTTCGGTTAATTGATGTATAAAATAAAATGATATACCGATTAGTGGTTACATGTTAATTTAGACATGTGAGAATGTAGCCATAGAGGCTGAGAGTGATAGAAGGTTGTGTTGAGTTAGCAACTGAGGAAGGGGACGGTAAGAGGGAGAGATGACAGAATAAGCTTTTTGTTGAATAGTGGAAAAATACTCAGCTTACAAACTAATACAAGTTTGGATTATATAGGTCAAGTAACCAACAACCATAACAAACTAATAACAACTAATAACAAACTAATAACAGCTAATAACAAGCTAATAACAAACCATAACAAACTATTAACACTCTAACATTCACTCTACTTTTCCACATTTTAATTTTCTTCAAAATGAACTTGCTATTAGAGAGTTGATCAAACAAAGAATGCAAACTTAATAAGCTGGAATTCAACTGTCTTGTTGTCTCGATGAACAATTTCCCAGACAAATTCTCTTTCACCTAAAACATATTCTTTCTTCAACTTTCCTCGGCTTTTCTTCTTATTTTCAAGAGTTGTTTTTCATTTTCACTGTTCTTTCTCTTCACTTATTGGGACTTTTTTTTTTGTTGGAAGCAATGCGGTTAAGCTACGAGCTCCCGGATGCAATCTAAAGCCACTCTTAGGCAAGAAAACATCCTATTTTGTCTGGTTAAGGAATGCAAGGTTACTAAACTCTTAACCCTCCCAGAGATTTTCTTCTATGGTAACTTGGTTGTTAAGCCTCAAAGTTCCATGTCAAACTTTGGAGAAGAAGTAACAAGTGATGAAAGATACTCTATGAACACCTTAAAGTTGCTGTATGATTGGAGAACCGAATGGAAAAAGTGCATAACCATCAAAACAATAGATGCCTTAACTGAACCACTCAATGGTCACTTTAGAATTAAACCATCAATAATTTGTAGCAGCAAGATCACAAAACGAACGAATAACACGAGCAATAGTGAACCAAAGCACCAAATATTAACTAAAACAACATCTAACTGTTCCCCTGTATCCAAATTAATTACGAGTGATCCTCTACTGGATCTTAACCATTCCACCCCCTCTGATGTTACTCCTCTGCATTTATTCACCTTCACTTTGATCAAATTCGGGCAACCACTAGCAAGGGCTTCCATTCCATAGTCTGAAACAGGACAACTCTTAATACAAAGCTTCTTTAAAGCTATACATATCGCAGCAATACATGAAATCTCTGCATCACCCACCGTATCACTACCACATAAAGTTAATCGTTCCAAGTTCTGACAATTTGAAGCTAACATTCCCAAACTTATATTCGTCGGATTAACACCAATAAAAACTAATTCTTGTAAATTAAGGCATGAGTTTGCAACAACAATTAAACCTTGGTCACCTATTCGATTGGCCTTCCATCCATCAATGTGCAGCTTCCTTAACAATTTACATTTCCCAGCAACAACTCCAAGTCCAGCGTTCGTACACTCTGGAGCCTTAACGAGGTGAAGGATTTCTAGGTTGGAACAGTTGGATAAGGCCTCGAGACCAATGTCGCTTATTTGAATACGTTCCATATGGATCTCTACGATACCCGTGACCCGATCAACTATAAGAGGGAAAAGCTTATCCCAATCACCAGAGCATCTAAAAAGTTTTAAGGATTTCAGATTCTTAGCACCAATAATAAGCGGACCAAAGCACTGTCCATTATAAAGCTCTTTCATGAAAATTGTTTTCAATGCTGTCGCCGCCACCCCTGGCCCTATCGGCTCAGCTCCAACTATGATGCCGCGAATTCGTTTCACGGAGAGTTCCTCGAGAGCTGGACAGTGGTCGAGCATGGCGTTCATGCTTTTAGCTCCGAAAGTGCAAGATCCACACAAAAGCTTCTTTAGGCCCCTACAGTTCTTAGAGAAAGTCGACATTCCGGCATCGGTCAAGTCACACCAAGTTCGGAGCTTAAGGCGATTCAAGTTCTGGCAGCGCTCCGAGATTAGAACAAGCGATTCATCCGCGATGCTAACAGAACTACGGTCACATTTCAGGGCCAGTTTCGTGACAGCATCAAAGCGAGAAAAGATGAAATGAATCAAATGTTGCATATCTGATTGGGCGTTGAGGGAAAGTCGATGACGGCTCTGTCCTTCAGTCCTCAACCACCGCCGGCAAACAAGAGAGCAGCGTTTCCGGTTACCGAGGCTAAGAAACTGGAAAATGCAAGCCAAATACTCGTCGGGCAGAACTGAGATGAAACCAGATAATCCATCCATAATACTTCGGTCAAGCTCTTCAGCTTCCTCAGATTGCATCGGAGAGAAAACAACAACAACAACAACAAATGCAAGCAGAATAAAGATGGTTGCAGGATCATCGGCGAATGATACCATGTGAGAATGCAGCAATGGAGGCTGAGAGTGATAGAAGGCTGTGTTGAGTTAGCAACTGAGGAAGGGAACGGTAAGAGGGAGATATGACAGAATAAGCTTTTTATTGAATAATGGAAAAATACTCAGCTTACAACCTAATACAAGTATGGCTTATATAGCCCAAGTAACCAACAACAATAACAAATTAATAACAAGCTAATAACAAACCATAACAAACTAATAACAAACTGTTAACACTCTAACAAGACACGTTAATGTGAAATAGTTTTATGAATATTTAATTTATACAAAAACTTGAATTTATTGGAAGATTTTAATAATAAAATAAAATATTATTTTCTTTAGAAGTCTTAAAAATAACTATATCTACAAAATCATTTCATCGACTAAATAATTCATCACAAATCTTTTAACCATAATTTAGTTATCAATAAATACATACGTTCGGTTCTAACAAGCTATGCTCAAGTGTGCAATTGAACTCATTTTCATTACTCTTCCGAAGTTCGATAATTTCACCATCTTCGTCTATTTCTCTAATTTTTTATATTCCTAAAACATGTTATAACAAAGAAAAACGTATCTAATTTCGATGACACCAAAAGGTTTAAAGTTCCATTAAACCATACAGAGCTAGAATCCTCATGGAATCTTACCCTATTATATTAATTGTATATTAGATATATAATTCACTTTTTATAAATTAAATTATTTCAACGAAAAAGACAAACTGAAAGTACTTGCATAACTGTTGTTGGGTATTTGATATCCCAAGTCCATTGTTTTCATGCATCTTCGAGGTTGGAGACATGGGCCGACGAGTATTGGGAAGGAGAATTATTATAGAATTGGACCCAAACATTATCAAATAGACCGGTTTTTACTGCATTTCCAACCCAAGCATCAGGCAATGGGAATATTTCAACCCAAACATTATTAAGGAGGGTTGATCATGTTTCGACTGTCCAATTTTTTTTTATTTTTTTCACATCCTAACATATTTTGTATATATTTCAACATACTGGTAATATAAATATAACGACTGATTTTAATAATAAAAATTATTATTAAAAATTTAGATTTAAATAATTATATTTATATAATAAATAAATTAAATAGATTATAAATAAAAATTATAGCATAATCATTACACACTAAATAAAAAAATATATCCACAATATGTTCATTACGTACTCCAAATTATTTTTGTTGTTTTTCAATTCAAGTTAGAATTGTTCACATTTTAAATGTCATATAAATTGGGTCTCATACAATAATAATAAAACTATACCTATATTCTTAAAAATTATAAATTAATATAGTGATAAAATTGGATTTTAACTCCTCATAAAAAATTATAATTCAATTCTACTCTCTCCAAAATTATTTTTGGCTTTATTCTTGCCAATTATAATGAGTAATGACACAACACCTGTCGACCAAAAGACCACACAATCAAAGTTACAACATTTTTTGTGTGGATAATTCAGCATTTTATTACCACAACAGTAAGGTTTTGATACAACCAATAACCAATCAACAAAATAGAACAGCCTAATTACACAACAATGATTGGTTATATACTATAACCCAAGCATTACAAAGGGATAAGTTAGTATTATCTAGTCTATTTATGGATCTGTCCCTTAGACGAATTGCAACCACATCGACAATTTCTTTAAGAATATCGTCAGCAGATTATAAACGACCTTGAAATAATCTCTGGTTACGTTCCTGCCACAAGAAGTAAATGAAGGCATTCCACGAGATCTTCAAAATGGCAATTAAGAGGGACTTTCCTTTCCAAGAGGAGCAAGCACGAGCTACCATTTCATCCCAAGTCAAAGCATAAAAGTTCATCCCATTCATGTTAAGGATGGATTTCCATATACCAATAGCCAAGGAGCAATTAGAGAAAATATGATCTCTAGTTTCTTGATGAGTGCTACAGTTTATACATAGTCCATCCGTGCAAATTCCCATTCTTTCTAAACGATCTCTGGTTGGTCATTTATTCAAAATGGCCATCCAAGAAATCAAGCTATGCTTTGGAATATGCAAAGGATACCATATTATACGCTGCCAAATAACCTTCTGCACTTGCGGTCCAATGTGCTCGCATATTTCCTTAGTACGCATGAAACTAGAAGCAAAAAAAGGAGCAGCAGTAGGTCTCAATTTCAGAATTCTTTTGAATCCCCAACTAACATTTGTTCCAGCCTCGAATTACCAGAAATCCTATCCTTTAAGAATGTAATTGTATAACCACGCAACCCACAATGAACCGTTACCAACAAGAACCTTCCTAATGAGGCTTATAGTGCATGCTCTATTCCAAATTGATGTATTAATCAGACCTAAACCACCTTCTAATTTGGTGAGGCACATACAATCCCAGCTTACCCGAGCTCCAGTTTCAGGTTTGTCTTCGCCTTTCCAGAAGAACCTTGCGCAAAGTTGGTCGACTGCTTTTAGAATCGAGGCTGGAAGTAGAAGTTGTCTGCACCAGAAATTACTGATGTTGAACAGAACGGTGAATTAATTCCAGTCAGCCAGCGTAACTAAGGTTCCGGGTGGACCAGTGATGCAATCGCTGCTTTATTTTCTCAAGAGGAGGTTCACGGTCATTCATAGGTTCCGGACTTGAAACCTGAAAGACGCTTAATATCTGCCAGTTCCCTTGGAATAATACCCGCCGTAAAAAGCTCACATTTGGAAGAATTAAGCTTTAGCCCTGAAAATTCATAGAATTTACCTGCGCACATACTTTACTTTTTCTTAAAGAATAATTCAAAGATATAATATATTCAAACTTCGTTTAGAAGATAGTTATAAACTTATAATACATATACATATCCTACAAAATAAATAAATAAACATCGTATTTGTTTTTTTTAAAATAGTGATTTCTGTTTTGCATTCAAATTTATTTAGTTTATTTATTTCAACAAATTTATTTATTTATAAAATGAAAATTGTCATATATACGTACAATAAAAGAAGAAGAAAAGATACTCTTCCATTATAATAAAATGGACATTCGAGTTTTAAGCGGAGGAAATTTGGACAGGTATGGCTGTAAATATCTTTGCTTTTTTGACTAAAGTAAATATATATTACTTTTTTTTATGGGAACTCGTTTCTACTTAGGACTGTAAACGAGTCAGTTCAAGCCCAAGTAAAGTTTTATCAAATTTTGATTAAATCAATCTCAAATAATTCTCTATCTAACACGTTTCTTTTACAACCCTGTCCTTTACTTTCACATCAAACAACCGTACACGTATGTATGTGAATATCTCTGCGACGCGGTCCACAGTAACTCCATGTCCCCACTCCATCATAGCCATTCGTAACAATTGCCGACGCGGCATCTTTTAACGTGTCAGGGTATATCGAATGCATTGCACCTAATGGCTCTTGCTTAACCACGTGTCCCTGATGTTAAAATCAATCTTAACACCTTTTATATATTGCGCTGTTCACGTGCACGATCCTGGTAAAAGAAGAGTAATGGATCTCACCTCCACATGTGACTCATTACATCTTAATTTCGAGTGCGAGGTAAGCTAACAATGAACGGAATAAACATAGTATTACACCACTAGTTTGTCATTGAGAATAAAAAAAAGAAAAAGACTTCAGCGGGAAGACGAAAGTATCAGCCAGACATCTTATATTTATAGTATATTAGAGCTGAAAGTCTCGCCCAAGGCTTTAATGGAGAGTGATAAAAAATACATTACTGCTCAAGAGTTAAAAGCACACAACAAGCCTGGAGATATATGGATATGCGTGAATGATAAAGTTTACAATGTTTCAGATTGGGCCAAGGAGCATCCGGGTGGCGAAATCCCGCTCTTGAATCTAGCCGGCCAAGATGTTACCGATTATTTTATTGCGTATCACACGGGAACTGCTTGGCAATATCTTCCCAAGTTCTTCACCGGGTATCATCTCAAAGATTTCCAGGTCTCAGAAGTTTCCAAGGATTACAGAAGGATTGTTCACGAGTTTTCCAAATCCGGTATGTTCGAAATGAAAGGACATACAGCCCTTTGTTCATTGACATCAGTAGCCATCATGTTTCTTGTTGTTCTTTACGGTGTTTTGAGTTGCCACAACGTGTGGGCTCATCTGAGTTCGGCCATGCTATTGGGTATGCTTTGGATGCAAAGCGCCTACGTCGGTCACGATTCAGGCCATTACCAGGTAATGGCTGGCCGTGGGTACAATAAGCTGGTTCGGTTTGTAACCGGGAATTGCTTAACGGGAATCAGTATTGCTTGGTGGAAATGGACTTATAATGCTCACCATATTGCCTGCAACTGCCTGGATTACGACCCCGATCTCCAACACATCTTCACGTTTATTCGATTCGTTAACGTCTTCGTTTTACGGACGGAAGTTGAACTTCAATCGTTTCGCAAGGTTTCTCATCAGTTACCAGCATTGGACGTTTTATCCCGTCATGTGTGTGGCAAGGGTCAATTTGTACGTACAAACGTTGTTTCTATTGTTTTCAAACCGGAAAGTCCCGGATAGAACATTGAATGTAATGGGAATACATGTGTTTTGGACTTGGTTCCCTCTCCTGATCTCACGTCTACCAAACTGGCCTGAAAGATTCATGTTTGTTCTTGCAAGCTTTGCAGTTACATCGATTCAACATGTTCAGTTCTGTCTGAACCATTTCTCTACAAACGTATACGTCGGGCCGCCAAACGGAAACAGTTGGTTCGAGAAGCAAACAAATGGGACATTGGATATTGAATGCTCTCTATGGATGGATTGGTTCTTTGGTGGATTGCAGTTCCAGTTAGAGCACCATTTGTTCCTCATCTGAGGAAGATTTCTCCATTGGTGAGGGATCTTTGCATTAAACACAATTTGCCTTACAAGAGTCTTTCTTTCAGGGAAGC